TATGCTACAAAAGAGCCCAAAACCCTATTCTAATTTGTAAGGCCCCGTTTTTAACTGCATCAGTCCTGGGAAGGACGGATCTTCCTCCTCGCTGGTCTCGGCCTGCAAACCACGAAGAGGGGATTTGGTCTAATGTAGGGGCCTTAATAATAAGAACGGGGTTTGAGGGTCCTTTTAATATAGTTCTAATAAGGAGCCCCTAAAAATAATATAGGTAATTATTGAGGCCCCTATAGTAAACTATGGAAAGATCACCAGGGCGAAACTGGCTTAGCTCGGTGAGGTCCGTCCCGTGTAAGTAGGCGTCACACTTTCTGACACTCACTCTTCCCAGCGGCTTAGGGTTTAGGGTTTAGGGTTTAGGGTTTAGGGCAAACTATCTTAAGCCACTTTGACAGTGAATCTTCATATTGGAACATCCATCTGCAACTCGCCTGTAATGGCCGATCATAGTGGAGTGCGACATAACGCAGGAGCTGAATGAACAGTAGGAGATGTCGGGCTCCGTTTTCCTCCCTGAGTGCGCAATCAGTGCTTGACGGTTCATACATAAGGTTTAGGGTGTAGGGAATGTTTAGGCATGTAATGCAACAAGTTCTCGGCCAGTCGGAGTAAGCGGGATCAGATGTAATTATTGCTTGCCGGCTGCCAGTGGGTTAGGCTCTACAGTGCGACGTCAGAGTTAAGCCTTGGGTTGTACGACTGGGTTTGGAACATCATCGGGATGTCGGACTTGCACAGGTTTGTTCGTCGGCTTCAGTCAACCCAAGAACCCAACACCTCTCAAAGGCTGTACAAAAAGATAGGGCGATGAGTTGTCCCTTGAGGCCAGTAGTTCAGCTCAGCTCCTGCAAAGCGCGATATACCCTGCTCGACAGTCTGAGCAAGTTGGTACCTTGAGCTTTGGCCCGGGAAATCACATCCAGCGCGGCGCATCGATGCTCCGGCTTTGCTTCATCGACCAGCTGTTGAGCTTGTGCTTGGCTTTTGACCCTCGATGTCCGCGAGAGGTCTCCAAGCAGTGATGCTACATGAACGTCCACGAAGAATCTGTCTAGGGTGTCGATGCCCACTTGCGCCGCCCTCGAAGCCATCTCGTTTACTTTCTGCCATGGCCTGCCAGCATAGGCCGCTATCACACATCTGAAATGAACCTCGTTGATCGATATGTTTCCTTGTGCCATTAGCTCCAAAAAATACTCGGCGACCTTGGGCTTCGCAGCCAGCTTGCAGCCATTCAAAGCAGCACCCCAGGTCCCGGCATCGATATCCATGCCCTCCTGCAAAATCTCATCAAGAAACATAGTAACTCGCGTTAGGTTAGCGGCAGTTGCTGCATCATTTACCATTTCGTTCAAAAATAAATACTTCTGCTTTGGCGTCCATGTCGACAATGTACTGTTCTTGGCATCCTCCCATAAAGAGAGAGCCTTCGCATGGTTCTTCAATTGCGTAAAGAGCCGGACGGCTGTTGTGTACGTAATGGCAGTTCGCTGTGTGCCGGCGTCGCACATGTCAGCGTACACTTCGGCACCGTACTTGAACCTCCCGCACCGAAATGCTGCATGCATGATTCCATTACACAACGGAGCCTTGAAGACCTTGCAAGATTCCCAAGCCTTCCTGGCAGCATACCAGTCCAGCCTCTTCGCAGAGCTCGAGATGATGTCCAAGCTTGTGATCTCTGCAGGGGTGAGTTCCACTGCCTCCCTTCCAAGCCCTACCTTTGAAGCAGGGCTCCTGAGGAGGAGTCCCCTCTCTTCTGTGAGCTTCTCCATATACTTGCTTACCCGGTGCCGAGGCGAGCTGAATACAGACGGCCTGACAGACCACAGGGGCCACGAGATTAAGAGCAAAATCGAGAACAAGCAGGACGCGGATCCGTGAGGCCTCTGCCGAGCTCCCGATAAGGCAGCCATATCTACGAAAAGAGCACATCCAGGCCCAAAGCTGTAGCTACGCTGGCAAAGCGGCAGGTGTTCCGCACATGAAACGACAATTGGGGCCGGTAGACAGGATGGAGGACAGAAGCCTTCTAATATAGGGGTCTTGATAAATAGAAGAGGGTTCCAATATACGGGCTTTAATATATAACTAGAATAGGGTTTGGGGTATATTCTGCTATATATCATCATAAGAACCTCCCCCCCCAAAAAAAAATAGGTAATTCTTCAGGCCCCCATACTATGTGCCTCGGCTGAAGCCGAGGCTTTGGCAACGGGAAGGTCGAAGCTGCTAAAGACCACAACACACTGAAGGGCTTTAAGGGTTTAGGGTTTAGGTAAGGAAGGGTTTAGGGTTTAGGTAAGGGTTTGGGGTTTAGGGTTTAGGTAAGGGTTTAGGGTTTAGGGTTTAGGTAAGGGTTTTGGGTTTAGGTAAGGGTTTTGGGTTTAGGGTTTAGGTAAGGGTTTAGGGTTTAGGGTTTAGGTAAAGGATTAGGGTTTAGGGTTGTTTAGGGTTTAGGGTTTAGGGTTTAGGGTTTCAGCACTCACTCCCGGACATGCTTAGTCGAGGTTCCTGGTACTTTAAGGGTTTAGGGTTTAGGTAAGGGTTTAGGGCT